GCCGCGGGTTCCACCCGCCCCGTCCCTACCTCTCCGACCTTCTCTATATTTCAGAGGAAGCGAGCAGAGCTTGGAAAAACGCCGAGCCCCGGAGAGATCCTGGAGTCGCGGGGAAATTAAACGAGCGTGTTTGCGTGGTGCGCGCGAAAAAATCGCGTCGCTCGTAAATTTCGACGACGACCGACTCTCCTTCCTGCCTCCCTTACTATTTCGCTCTTTCTCTCTCTCTCTCTCTCTCTCTTTCTCTCTCTCTCTCCGCCATCACGGCCAGCGCTGTCGACCGGAAACTCGGACGCGAACAAAGCGTCGCGACGCGCGAATTCCAAACCGCGATCGCGAGAAACTTTTACCGAGGCGGTGAAACGGGGTTGTATACCCATTTATTTCGCGTTTTTCTCCCGGGGCCATTATCTTCGACGCGTCGAGTCTCCGTATCGTCCGTCAATTTTTCGCGTATCGGTTACAAATTTTTCCAAAGACATTAAAGACAAAGGGTGGGAAAAATCGATTTTTTCCACCCTTCCGGGTGTACGTGGCCCCTTAAGGACGAGGAACACCGGTAGACGACGTCGACGTCGACGGTTAAGAGAGCGGCCGAGAGGGTCGAGGACGACCGAAGAGGGGTTTTAGTGGATAAGGGCGCAGAGGGGTAAAGAACGAGAGAAGCGCGCGGTTCGACAGCGCGACGGAAGACCGAGGGACGCAAGGAAGAGGACGAGGGCAGCGGAGGACCGTCGAGGACGGACGGACGGACGGGCGGGGAGGGAGGGAGGGAGGGGGGGGTCAGGAAGGGCCGCGAGGTAGCGTAGAAGAGCGAGTATAGGCAAGACGAGGCAAAAGCAAGACGCGCAACGCGGCATGGCAAAGCATGGCATGGCAAGGCGAGGCGCAAGCTGGGCTTCGGCGCTGCGGGAGGAGGAGGAGGAGGAGGGGAGGTGTGTGTGTGTGGTGGGATTGGGAAGGGGAAGGGGCGAGAGGGGGCCGAATGGCGAGGTGCCGCAGGGCGAGGGGAAGATCGGGAGGGGAGAACCGCGGCGTAGCAGGGCAAAGGGAGAGGGGCGAGGGAAGACGGCGTCGCGAGTCCGCGGAAAGCCGGCGGCGACCACCGCCGCAGTTGAGCGTCGCGATTCGTCGCGAGAGCATCGTGCGTTGGTAGTTGGCGCCCTCGCCGTGTGTAATACCGTGGCACACACAACCGAACAAGAGTTAGCTGCGAAGCGTAGAAACGGGTGGGTCGGACCGATCGGCGATCAGGTTCGACGGTCGAGAAGGAAGGCGAGCGACGCGCCCCCGAAAACCAGTAAACGCGAAGCCAGCGAGTAGCGACACGCACACACACCGGCGGTTCAGTCGAGTTCGATCCACCGTCAGGTGAGGATCGCCGGTGTCACGGTCCGTTTGGTCCGACTTCTGTGCTGGGATTAATCGGCGATATATTATCGTTATTTATAGAAACGGAAGTCCGCGAAGCGTTACACGTTCCACGCCGTACGCGTTATCGAGTCCGATAGTCAGTGAAGAAATCGAAGTGAAGACACGAGTGAATAATCGAACGGTGTCGGCCGAGCGTGGCTACGGATTTTTGTGTATCGTCGCGATTTCAACCGAGCCGTTCGATCCTCTGGATTTTTTTTGTGAATTCGGAGTCTTGTGTTACCTGCTGATCGAATAATCGTCGCGAAGACGAACGAGAAACACAGATTTCTCTGTTCGGGAGTCGTTGAAAATTTAAACTGTGTTTTCACGAATTGGTGTGCGCGACGACGGGATTTGTCCTTGACGCCCCGTCCTTTCGTCGAGCCGTTGCGTCGAGACTGTGTGTGGTTTTTTTTTTTTTTTCTTTTCCTTTCGGTGTCTGGCAGCGTCTCTTTCTCGCTTGGTCGGCGATATCTCCGTCGCTGGCTCGAGACCTCCGAACAGCACGCAGGGAGCGAGCAAGAGGACACGCGTACGGGACTAGTGGAAGGAAGACGGAGAACGAGCAATCATCGAGAGGGCTCGTGGACGGAACCGAGACGAGCGAAATGAAGCGCGCGAATAACGCGACGGGCGAAAACTGATCCGACTCGCGGAGCGTCGACGGACCGTGCGTGTCTAGCACCGTCTTTGTTTCTCTCGATTCCATCTTTCGTCCCGTCTCGTTCCTACCCGAGTCGGCAGCTATTCCTCGTGGTACAGCAATAATATCGTTTTCCCGCGCGGACCGCGGATTGGCTGATGTGCCCGCGAACGAAGAGCAGAGCAGCGAAGCAACGTGCCCCGTTTTACTCGCGCTAGCGCCGAGGACGCGTTCGGTGAGGAAGGAGGTTCGACGGTGCGCGCCGAGCGGAGAAGCGTGGCGAACAGAGAGAGAAACAGTGCTCAGGGAGGGGGGAGGGCGGCAGACGAGGAGGGGAACCGCCCGACCGAGTTGTTTCATTCATAAAAAAGTTCTTTATTACTCTCTGTGAGCGCATGTGCTATTCCACGGAGGAGGACCTCCCCCGACCGGCGTAACCACGTTTACACACGGTATTATTTACTACTGCGCGAGATACGAATCGCTGCCACACGCCGTGGCAACGGTACGGCGTACGGATCTCTCTGGCTGCTCCGTGTTACCGTTGCCCGTACGTCGTCGACGTTGCGGCTACGAACGCCTAATTGGGAACACCTTCTTATCGACGTTGATCGAATCGGACGGCGTTCGCAGAAAGAACTCTGCGCGACGGTGCCTCGAGCTCGACCTATCTCTCGATCCTCTTTCTTTATCGAGCACGGTCGTGCGTACGTTGTGTCCCCCTCCTCCCCTTCGTCCCCCCCGTCCCCCGTTGACGTCTCGCGGACGAGCAATTGGAATTCCTCGCGTGTCCACACGCAGGCCCGATATAGTCGGATGGCGCGATCTGGAACGTGAACGTCGATCGATCGCCTTCTCGCGCGCGTCACAAAACCGCTCGAGGCACGGTGACGGTTGGAGAACCGAAGAAACCAGTGGCTAACCAAGCTACCGCCGAACCAACGGGGCACACGCACAGCAAAAAAGAAGAGAACGCGGTGCAACGGAAACGTTCGAGTTCGACCGAGAATTTTGGAAAAAATCGTTCAACCTGGATCTAAGGACGAACTTGGACGTCTACGTCGACGATCCCGATCATCGAGCGCTAGACGGACGCGACAAGCCGCGCAGGGATCGCAGGACAAACAAGATAGATCCCAAAGTGATCGAGGAAGGTATCGCGACGACGGAAGACAACGGTTACGAGGATCGTGTTCGCGAGGGCAAGGAGAGTCGTCTCGCCGCGATGAGAGGCGAGTCGGCGCGACCGGGGAAGCGCCCTTTGAGGGCACTTTCCGCATCCGAGAAGATGGACGCGATCCAAAGGGTTCACGAGGGGGAGAGCAAGGCCTCGGTGGCACGCGATATCGGTGTTCCCGAATCGACGTTAAGGGGATGGTGCAAATCAGAACACAAAATTCGAGGAATGGCGAGGAATTCGTCGACGCCCGACAGCGAGGCGCACTCGCCCGCTTCGTCCTCCGGGGCGAACGTGACGGCCGGAAATTTGGCCGGCGGTTCGGCGAATCTGTCGAGCGAGGACGAGGGTCCTTGCGCGAAGAAGTCGAAAATAGATCAGCAAAGTTCGGTGACGGGAGCGGGTACGTCGTTCGTAGGTGACATTTGCACAGACGCCGACGGCAAACCGGACGGCAAGCAACCCAAGATCGATTACGTGGGCCTGATGACCAGCATGGCAGGCATGAGACCCGAGAATAGTTCGTTGCTTTTGCAACAGCTGGGCCTGCTCTCGGGCGCCACCGGCACGTTGGCCAAGAATCTGTTGAGCATGTCGCCCGCCCTGTCCCACGGCAGCACCGTTGGCCTCGTGGAAAACGGTCTCCAATATACCAAGAGCAGCACCGGTAACGCGTGTTTACCGAACACAGCGAGCAGCTTGAACGGAGGTAGCAACAAGAGGCACAGTATTTCCGCGATCGCTCCGGCTCAGATGGATTCCGTTGTCGCGAAATCCTGCACGAGGAAGAGCCTGCCACCTGCCGCGGAGGCGCCCTCGACGCCGGTCCCAGCTTCACCGAGGAAGACCAACGAGAACAACAGCAGCATTCAGCGATCCGCGAAACCGAAGAAGGACGGGAACGTCAGTGGCACCAACAACAAAAAGGTCGACGAGGCCCTCTGGCTCTGGCTGACGCAGCAACAACAACTGCTCGGCCAACAGTCGGCCAGCTTCAATCCGAGCATCAATCAGCAAGATGGATCGTGGTTTTGGCAGTGGTACAAACAGTGCAGCTTCCCGCTGATAACGCCGACGCCGACGCAACTCGCGCCTAGTCCCGTCGCCAAGAAATCGCCGAGCAAGGCGAGGGCCATGCTCGACAACGTGCTGTGCAACAACAACAACAACAACAACAACAACGAGAACGTTAAACGAAGCTTGAACATGGAGGTGCCGGAGGACGAGGACGTCGAGACGTCGGGCGACGTGCCCGCCAGCACCGAGGAGGCGATCGAGCACGGGGAAAAGTTCTTCAAGTGGTTGGACAAATGCTCGGACCCGGCGGTCACGAGGCTCCAGATTATACAGTTCAAATACCTATTGGACAATCTGAAGGCGTGTAGAAAGAAGTCATCGTCTAGCGCGAAACAAAGCAGAAAGTAGGCGAGACGAAGCTCTGTGATGCTAAATATATATCTTAGAAAGAGTGCGGTTAGCGCGGCAAACGCCGAGACAGCAGATCGAAACGGATAGCTAGAGAGTGCGAGAGAGAAACTGAGGAGAGAGGTCGAGCTCGACTTCTTCCTTCGTGTTACCGCGACACACGCTCGATCTCCTTTCGTCGAACTCTTCGGTCCCGTCGTCGGAACCAATTGTCTTTTTCTTTTTTTTTTTCTTTTTTCGATTCTTTTTTCTTTTTCCCCCTTTTGTTTTTAACAGAATTTTTTCTTCCTTTCGAACAACAGTATCGCTTATTAACCACGATCGGGTGGTTACTTTTATTTCGTGGATCAACCATTCGATTCTCTCGTTATCATCAGACTGTAGATTTTATGCACTCACGATGTACGACAACGTAGAAAACATACGTAAAGTATACGCGACGTATGTTTAATGTATTCTATAATTCGCATAAGTCCATATACCTTTTAGTTACGTTCAGCATTCGTTTATCGTAGAAATTCACATCGTAGACGCGTACGATCCTCGGTCTAGTTATTGTACGTCATTTTAACGAATCGAATTTGAATTTTGTTACCCAACCGAACGACGCACAAGGAGTTGTACGCGTTTCATTCGGTACTCGAGACTCGCATACTTTTATTAATTATTCTTCCAGGTGATACGTCCAAATCTTGGGTTGCCAATTCGCGTTCTCTCCGACTCTTTCGTTTCGCGATTTCAAACATTCTGTTCCCTCTTTTTTACCCTCGTCCCTTGACCCATAGTTTTCTCCTTTTCGTTTCTCGAATTCGGCTCGGGAGTCGGGGCCGAATGAAATCGGAGGATCGCAATGATCTTTTCCGTTTATCGCAACCATGTACATAAGAGGATATACCAAATTCGTGAATGGACTGTTGTAATTATTATAAAAGTTGAGGTGTCCGTAGGAGAGGTATTATTATATCGATCACTTTATCATTCGTTAGTGTTAAGGTGTGCGAGAGAGAATGCACGAACGCGCGCGTCGCGATACTTCCCCGTGACGATCGAGACGCGAAACGGAGGAGAAACGGGATCCATCGATCGTTAAACGTGCGTCTTTAGGGATTGTTTTTCGCACGGATAAACATATACACCGACGCGACACCGGTGCGTTAACGAAGTCGGAAGTATCGAGAGATCGCGAAGAATACGTTGTCCACGGTCGAGATTCCTTCATTTCGTTTGAAAATTGTTTCGGTTACGTGTACGTGGTTCGATTATCGCGCGAGTAATATTTAAAATGGCTTCGCGATGTTTATTGTGGACTGGCGCTTTTTTCCCTAAACAGTTCTACCTCTCGTGTTCTGTTAGCGAGTTATTTACGTATGGTATATAAAGTAAGGTTACGCGAGCGTATGCGTATGTGCGCGCGCGCGCGCGCGTGTGTGTGTGTGTACGTGTACGTGTGCACGCGACTCGCGCGAAACTAAATGGTCCAAAAACGATAAAACGAAGAACAAAAAATTTGACGAGTACGACGAGACGCGATGTTTGTTATATCGATGAGAAATTATATATATATATATATTATATATATTTAAGGACCTTCGTCGCTTAGCTTTACGAAGTAAGACGTTCGATGAAGTGTGACACGTTCGACTACTTACCATGCCGAGTGCTTTGTCTAGCGGCACGTACTCGATATAGTCGCTGACGAATTTTCCGCACCCCTGCCACGTGTACAGTTCCGGATATGGCAGCGTACTTCGTCTGATAGTCGTAGACACGAATTTCTGCACAGGAAAGCGAGCCAACTGTAAAACACACTCTTATCTCGCGATTCGTTTCTTCCCTCCTGCCCCGTATTCTTTAACGATGCTTTGCTACGATACGAGACAAAGATGGGCAAAATTCTCTCATTTGTTTCGAACACTCGGAACGACGAACACGAGACAAACGCTTTTCTTTATCCGTTCCTCGTTGAACAACGGTCGTTTTCATTTCTCCCAGTGTTCGAATAAAATGTTGTCCGTCTCTGTGACGAGATTTAAATCCCCGGGCCCCACCCCCCGTGACTGTCTCTTTCTCTTCTCCAATATTTATTTTACATATTTTTTCTGTTTTCTTTCGCATCGTCGCGAAACGAGTCCGTTTGCCAGTCGAGAATCGCCCCACGCGGATGATTGGATCGAATCATTGCGAGAAAAATCTGAACGAAGCTACTTCCTAATCTCACTTTGAAAATTAACTGTCGACTCGTGAAACGGTCGTTCCTATCGTGTTCGAATGTACTTTCCAAGGGGAAACTAATTCTTGCGTGTAGCAAAGCGTATTTATAACGAACGAAAACAATAGAAACAAACAAAACACACACACACACGCATACACACACGCATACACACACGCATACACAGAGAGAGAAAACAGGAAACCAAAGTGAAGTAAGCACTGTCGAGTGCGACAGTGCGTGTAAATAAGACTGTGACCGTGCACTTGCACGCGAAGTGCATACCATGTATTTGTAGAACGTTTGAAGCATGTACGAATAAATGTATAGCGAAGTTTATTTTTATTATTTAGATCGTAGAAGAGAAGGTTCGAGTGTATTAGAAAGATTCCTATTACGCAGTTATATTTCCATTAGTTAAATTAAAATCGAAGGGAGAGAAAGACGAACGACAAGGAGAGAGGTTAGAATCTATTTCAAGACGACATTCCTCGTTACCTTTTAAAAGAATAACGCGCGTACACCTTAAATGAAATGAACGACTCGGAAGAAAAGAAAAGAGAAAAAAAAAAAACATGAATTTTAATGGTAATATCGATACATAATTTTATTTATAACACGTTTTAATTTTTATATGAAGATAAATAATATGCCTTTGTACAATCGAGTCGAAAAATATTTATCGAAAGAATACACCGAAGAAAATAATAAAACACGAACGTATTCGCATATTTTTTAACACTTGTCCTCTATACCGAAGAACGTGCGATAGAAAACCGAACGAGAGTAACGAGAAATGAAAATTTTCCATCGTTGAAATAGTAAGTAGAGCGACGGAGAAATTTCGTGGCTTTTCGATATATCTCGTCGCTGACGGCATTGCTATTTCGTTGGTCGTTAGAAAGGTTGCCTCGTCGATTCGATAATGAAAAACGATAAATAAACAGAAACACGTGCTGTAATATTTATGCAGAGAAGTGTGTAAATGTAAATATATCCGATGTTACGTATAAAATATTTCGATATTCTTTTGAACCGACAACACTGTAAACGAGTTTAAAGTTCGCGGGACGAGGTTATTGCATGAAGCTATCTATCGTTCGTCATCTTGGGCTATTCGAAAACTTTACAAGGCGAAACGATTAATCGAATCGAGTTTCGCGTACGTTACAGTTATCCAATTGATATCTTTAATTTATTTAAGAATCAAATTTCAAAGTGACATAGAAATAGATAGATATGTATTATTTACATCGAATTGAAATTCTGGTAGAGACGTGCCCTTGATTTAGTTTACTTTCGATCGCGTAACGCGTGTCAGGTTCGATTATCGAAGGCACCGCCATGTTCGCTCGTATCCCGATCGGCCAGTTTGGCGGTAGTTCGCGATTGACTTACTTGCACGCCGCATTCGTTTTCGCAGACGAGGAGAAGCGGCTTTCGATTCGGGTATTTCGCATGAAATTGTTGTCGAAAGTTTTCTGCGTACCACGCGAGCACCTTCTCCTTACCGCTGAGGGTACGATAGCTGCTGGGAATCGTCTTCAGGTAAAGTTCCTTTCTCGAGTCAACTTCTGGCCAACATAGTTTGATCAAACCGAGTTCCCGTTGTACGTTTTTTACGAGTTCTCGCGTAATCTGTACGAGACTTTCCGTATCTTTGACCGTCGATTCCAACTTATGATCTTCCTGTGGATCGGTTATGGTCGTTAAACTTTCGTAACTTTCAAATTCGCCTTCTTCGCCAGTCTCGTGCATCCTCGGCGCGAGTCGATTTGTCGCGACGATTTCGTAACGAAAAAAACGGATTAATTGACACAGCGAGAGCTTAGGTAGATTCGGCGAGTTGTCAGTGTTTGCTTCTGTCCAAGGACGGTCGAATTTAAATCGAAGCTCCCCGATAAACAATTGTTTTTTGCCATGACAACTCGACGAAATTACGTGTTTATCAAACGTGTTCATCGATATAGTGCTCGTCAGGGAGCAGCACATGTCGGCCATGTTCTCGCGTTACAGTTTTCGATCTCGCTCGACCAGGACGTAGTACCCAGTAGGTATAGGTTAGGAATCGTGATTCGCAGCGAGTGCTATCAACGACGAAACAAGTGCATCAAATCTTAGCGAATCGGTGGGTAATACACGACCTTATCACTCGGTTCGTGTAATTATTTCCTATGAAACAAGATGGCGTACGATTTCTACAATTCCTTGCTGTGACATCTGTAAGAAGAAATGCAAAATACAGCGTGCCTCAGGGATACGAACGTGCCTTGCGAAGCTAGATATTTTGTAAGCATTATATCGATCAATCAGAATTTTGAAACAGGAAAATATGACAGCAGCGTATGATACGATAATATGCGTTGTAGGTAATATTGTTTAATGCAATGACGGTCTCGCCAATTTCACGAGAGATGTTCCGACGTACCCGATTATTAGGTTGCCTACTGTTAGGGTTGTTTCAATTACATTACCAGTAGGCAAATATATTAGGTTGTCCCAAAAGTTTCTTTCGCTTTATTAATAAGAAATACATGCACATGCAGTTTATGTTTTATGTTACATTACTGAATTGTGCACGATTCTAAAGGAACGACTAGAATAAATGAACGATAAATTTATTAGTTTTATTCAAAAACAAAAACATTCGTTTGTCTTATAAACAATCAACTTGGACAATTCGATTCGCCTCTATTATCGCGTAGAAAGTAGCATGCGTGATAAGCATTACGATTTTATTAATAAAAATCTTCAGATACATATCATTGGTATAAAACATACGCATAATTAAAACGAAAGTACATACAAGCTGCGAGAATAATGTTTCACGATAATATATTTTATTTATAAACTATAAATATAACAAATCGGTTTGATCTCGTCGCATGTATATGTAACAAAAAAGAAAGAAAAAACCAATAGAACTGAAAGGTATAATTACACGAATATGTGTTGCATCGGATAGTCGAGTGACCTTGCAAAGTCTTTTCATTAAAATTTATGCGATTAGGTCTAACAAGTTTGCTCGCGTTCGTACGTGATCGAGTCAATTGACTTTCACGTATTGTATGTTTCGTGTTTTTGAACAAACAAATTCGCTTCGCGTTTCGTAACACCACCACCCCCCCGCCTGGACTCTCCGTAATTCACGTCATGGATTCAATATGCCACACAGATATCGAGCCGTAAACGGACTCGGCACAGTTTTATCATCACAGCGGTCTCAGTTCGCGTCGTTCGAATCTTGCCGCCATTTTTGAGTTGCTTCTCGTCTCACGTCGGGCACCAATTGCGATTGCATACCGCCTAATACATTGTTAGTTGCCTCGGTCGCTAGAATGATCGGTTTCATCACCGTTGGCGGTATTTGTCGTAACACGCCTCCTAATGCGCCAGAGACTCCCTTTTGCTCGTGTTCTTCGCTGGCTACGCGTACTAATTGATCAGCAGTTTCACCCAACCCCTAAAAAAGCATTTCCATTATATATATATATATATAAACAACGCGAAACATACGATACATCACGGGTTGAGAGAAAAGTTGAGATTACTCGCCTCTTTTACTAGCAAGTAAGCGTTAGCCATTCCTTCTCGAATATCCAACGGTTGGCTGTATCTTTTCCTGCGTCCTTTCTGTCCTTTACTTTTTTTCCTCACGCTAGGGCCAGGACTAACCATGTCGTAAGCTGTTTCGGCAGTGCTTTGAATAGCGTGTATTAGCTTAGAAGTCAATTCTAATGCTGCCATTGCAGTTGAAGTGGTGAAACTGTTCGCACCACGTTGCAGTCCTCTAATGATTCTACCATCTTTCTGGTACTGTTCAATGGGTAACCAGAATAAGTCACGTATGCCTTGAACTGTAACACGAAACGAACGATTACTTATTAAGACTGATTAGAATGACCGATTAAATCAGAATTCATACTTACACAATTGTATCAACGAGTGCATAGGACCTACACCGCCAAGTAAACTTGGAAGTTGATTTTTCTTTATATCTTGCAACCACTCGGAAATTAAAAACGTTACGAGCTTATCAAATCCCAGAAGTCCATGTCGATGTGTCAATCTTTTCAGTCTTAATTCGGAACAGTTCAACTGTGCCAGGCCCATTAGGAGACCCGCTACTGGCCCGTGAGTGAGATCTACACGCTTCCCATGATAATCTAATCTAACAAGGACTTCGGGGGAAAATATGACACTCCTGACACGAATTAAACAAAACGAGACTTTAATATAAAATGTTACATGGAGACGGACCGATACCAATCGCTACCGATATCGTGTAGGACAATCGTAATAGTGTCTAGGCGTGTATGCTTACCTAAAAAATATCGGCTGACAATCTTCCTGAACTGCTTGTTTCGTTTTCATTTTGGTTTTACATTCTTTAATCATCAACTCGTCCTCCAGGAGTATTAGCAAGTTTGGATCTATACTATCGTTTTGCGAAGTATTCGTTGGCGTTGGAGTATTAGGCGCGGTATCATTCACGCTCATGACCGGTAGATGATGCGTCGGCGTCCCTTGTTTAGACAATGGCGAAGACTGAGGGTTGCTGGGTGTATTAGAATTCTCTTGGGTCTCCTTTAGATCGCCGCTCAATTCGTTGAAAAACTCTATCAAGAATAATAGGCTGTCTTGGTCTATGTTCAGACGCAACGGCAGTAGGCTGAGTTTCAAGCAACATTCTTGAGCACTTAATCTTGGATCCGGTCTGATGTGAACCGCCTTCATGACGAACATATTTGCATGAGACTGTTTGGGTTTCGCTTCGCTACTGTACTGATACAAGAATTTGTTGATGTACGAAGACGCTAGCCTGTCCCTAATTTCTATCTCGCTTATCAACAGTACTTGTCTCGCTGCTTCTTCGGTATTGTCCGGGTAGACCTCGTGCTGAAAACGCACTTTGGTCAATTCTATTTCCATTAGAACGTCGTGTCGGCGGCCAGGTCCGCCCAACGTGTGCCATTCGCTAGTTTCTTTAGACTTTCCTCGTGGTGAATTTGGTATACTACCGAAGTGTACTTCGTTCATGTTCGATTCATTGAAAGATACTCCGTCGTACCATGGAGATCTACTCCTGTACACAATAAAAATTACAGAAATAAAACTCTCGTTCGATGATCGTTTAAGTCGGATACATACCTTTCATGAATCGTCGCGTTAGGGAGATTTTTGTTATCGTTAATAGACACGTGTTTCTTAATTGTTGGTGGCGAGGATTCGAAATCCCTTCCTCCGTACATGTGCCAAATTAATGTCATTTCGCATAGGGTGTACCTTAGAATTGGAGAAGGGAAATGTCTAGGCGCTTTAAGTAAGTCGGGTTTACCGAGCGGAATCGAAAAGTAATTATCTACTATCCTTAAGGACTCTTGACACAGCCAACGAACTTCCGGTACCCCGTGTCTAGGCATAATCCCTGCGCCTGCTTCTTCTCCTAATATACAAAAGTCTTCGTTAGCATCCTCGATCTCAACGTTACACTCTGACTTGGCACATTGCTCGGGACCTTTCGACATCTCAGGGATTATCTGCGAAGGGGGGTGAGACTCATCGGGAAAGAAAAATACTTCTACTTTATCTTCGTTTTTTAAGATTTTCCCATCCACGCTCGCACTTGTTCCTGCAACAGAATTATTGTCATCAATTATTATTTCGCATTCGTTTCGACGTACCGATTCTATTCGATCGTATCGTTCGAATCTACCGTTTACAGTTTCTGTCATCGCCTCTTCCATCAAAGTGTTTACGCGCTCCAGTTGACTCGTGCTCAACAAGTTGATACTCTCGTCGCCAAAGAGACTCTCTTCGTCTCCGGAACTCGGTACCATGATACTCTCGGTACTTTCCGTGTTTGGCATTAGATCTCCATCGTTGGCAAAATAAGTCAACAACTGAATAAGGATACGACCAGAATCCGAACACGTGCGAATATGCAGAACGTTGTTGCTCGCTCTGAGATCCACTCTAGGTGCTCCGCCAAACATTTTACTATTTAGCCTCAACGACAATTCGAACAATCCAACATCCATGACGCAGACGTAGTCTCGCTTTATGTCCACGACTTTTCCTAGCTTGTTAGATACAAACAACGCGATATCTTCAGCTATAAAACGTAACGTTGAAGTATTCGTTTGTGCGGCAATATTACTGGACACGCTAAAGTTACCCAGAGTTATCATCGATCTCAATGGCAGATGAATTGGCCTAAAATCATACAAATTTTTAAGTATAGATAATTCGCAGGTGTTGTTTCGATCTGTTAAAACAAGAACCTATAGTCAATTGCACAATCCCAGAAATGTAAATGCAACTCTGTTAATACTCCTGGCGATGAGTAACCAGCGACTGGATAATCGATCACGTCGAGACAATCCGTTAGTTGTGTGAACCACGATGTACCAGTCGTACACATCTTGTACCGCAATGTAGCATTTGTTACGCCTACGGCTACTCTGAAAGTCTATCGTAAAAGAAAGCATGGTTAATCGAGCGATCGTAGAAATTCAATTTGTTCGAAACAATTTTTAAACCAACTTTTATACGATGAGTTTGATGAGCAGCTTGTATTCGGATAGCAAGCATCACCATATCTTTATCGCTGTTATTTGTTCCCATTACGTTCGCATCTAGCTCGCTTTTATATATAGCTTTTTGACAATGCCGCGGGCTAACGCTATTAATACGTATCATTGTAGGTGGTTGCGAAGGAGTCGTCATTAATCCGCAATGATCCAACGATGTTTCTT